AAAAAAAAATAGGTTGCTTCGAACGGTCCATAACAAAGTGGATTGTGTTGTCTCGATAATTGTGTCGATGTACTAATCAATCATTTGGCCGAGGCCGATTGATAATAAACAACTGAGGTTACATCATCGCCCGGGGAGATCGTTTGACAACAAAATTACCTAACACGTAATACTGAGCCTTCCCATTGGTTGGTGCCCTATCTCACTCCTCGAGTCGCAGTCTTGCACATAGGGATGATAGTTTAGTAGGGTTCATGATTAGATAGAAATAGGACAATATAGATTATGATTGTAAACTATTAGATGAAGAAAACTAGAAGAGTGCCACGCCCTTGCACCCCCTAAATGAGAAGTAACTGAGCCCCTGCTAGCCAGAAGAAACCCTAATTGTGATGGTTTCTTGGTGACTGACTCTAATAAGTCCTAGGATTTTTTGAGAGAGAGTATTATTATTATTATTATTATTCTTCTTCTTCTTATTATTATTTTTTTCAATCAGAAACCTTCCTTTCTTTTTTCTACTAACTAATGTGGGACTAGAGTATCTGCTTGTTACCAGAACATTGATGGAAATTTCCTAGTTTACCCGGTGCAAATTTAAAAGATCTTTCAAATATAATTGATAAAAGTAAATTAGATTCTTTAATTGACTTGTTTATCGATGCTTGCATTTTTCTAGTCAATCATACATAATAAAATTTGGAGTTTCTTGTTGAAATAATTGTACAAAGTCCTCATTGTTATATATACAGCTGCAGGTGTGAATCCAAGACTTTGACTCAACTAGGGAGGTCATTGATCGTTGACCGTCGATAGTCAACGGCCGTATAACAATGTCATTTATTAATATTAAATTCAATAATATTAAAAAACTTCCGATCTATATTTAAATACACTAAAACTTAAAAATCGTATATTTATATCATATTATAGTTCAATACAATCCGAAATAATATAAATTATATGATACATGAGGATTCTTTGTGTTATCAATGCTTAATAAATCGTTTGCTTGACTACAAGTAGCTACAAGAACTAGATTGGGATTCAGTTGAAAAAATAATTCCATAATTAGTATGAGAATTGAACATTAATCAAAGATTAAATGTAATTAAAATTAATTTTAAAATATAATTAAAGTTTCAATTTCCAATTCTCAACACGAATTAATCACGAATTACAAATTCCCCAATTTCTCATTTTCAATTTTCATAAATCACATATTCACATTTCACAATACTCAGTTTTTGTTTTTGTCCTTTTTTTTTTTTTTTTAATATCACAATTCATAGTTGACATATTCTCAAATTTTCAAATAAAACATAAATTAAAACTTAATACTCATAAGTCATATCTTATAAATTATTAAAACACAAAATATTTAAAACAACAAAAACCAACAAAAAAAATAAAAATAAAAATAAAATAATTGTCACTGACTCATCTAGAGCTGTAACATATATTATTTTGTTAAATTTAATATCAAAATTCAACCATTGCCATGATGGTTAAGCTTTCAATAATCCTAACTAGAGGTCACATGTTTGAATCGCTTCCTTATGGATTTAATTTTGGTAAATACTGTAGAAATAAAAATGTTGCACAATGGATTGGATGGGAAGGACTCGAACCCAATACTTCAAATGTATAAATGCAAGGTGTTTGAAAATAAAATGAATTATCAGTCCTATAAGTTAAAAAATCTATCTATTATCAACAAAAAAAGAAAAAAAAAAATTGCTTCTAGTAGATCCAACATGTGTGACCGCGGGGCTCGTTAGGTGCTGGATCCGTCCCTTTATATTCTGCAGGCAAAAATGTGGACCATAATACAAATTGATAGGTCCGTGAGGCCTAACAAGAATAGCAATGATGAGGCTTCTTGAGGTTCTGAGTTCAAGAATATAGTTTTTTAGTATGCTAAAATTACAGTAAGTCGAGAACAATAAGACATACTGGACACAAAAACATGAAAATAGATATAATATTTGTCATCTAAATGGTTAAGAAAAGGGCGTTATTTGGAATAAATTAATGCCAATATTTTGGAAATTTCAAACAACTCGACTGGAATAGTGTATTAAACATGTATATCAGCAGGTTTGCAATTAGCATATGGAAGCTTGCAATAGATTATATTAATTAATTAGGAAATCTCAACTTGCAATGTTATAGTGAAACCTACTTTCTTTCTTTCTTTCTTTCTTTCTTTCTTTCTTTCTTTTCCCTGACGAGATGTCTTCTTCGAGAGTCTAAACAGCCGGCTGTAACATTGTATTGGTTGGTATACCTGCGAAAGATATAATCATTCCGATTGCTTACAATATGCTTCAGCCTTGCGTTTGTGTACCTAGCTGAGAGATCCAGTATGGCTTATGCTGCATTAGTTTCACTTTCTCAATCGCTAGAACAGGTCCTGGATCCTGATCAATATCGAATTCTTCATAAAGAGCAACAGATAATGAGAACTCTCCCTGAAAAAGTGAGTTTCTTGCTATCATCTCTAGAAGATTATGCACCAACTAATAGTGAAACAATTATATGTTTGGAAGGAAGAATAAGAGGCGGCATATAAAGCACCAGGTATAATTGAAACCAATAGATACTATCAGATGCGATTCATGTTTGGATTTATCAGATGTTTTTGGGAAATAATTTCTGTGTTCCATTAGTGTGAGAGGTGCATGGAATCTTGCCTGCAGAAATATAAAGACTTGGAGAAGGTAATAGAAGAATTTGATTCCATTTCACAAGAGTTGGTGAATATGGACAGCTCTCGCATAGAGAGGAACTATTTGTCTCCTAGCTCTGGTTCACTGAAATCTAGTTCCAATAACAAGAGTGCTATTGTGCGCTCTGAAAATGACTTCAATCAAATTCTGGATAGGCTAAATGGAGAACCTACTAAACTTGAAATCATCCCAATTGTTGGGATGAAAAGCATGGAAAGACTACACTTTCAAGAAATCTTTATGAACATCTATAAACTGTGCGTCGCTTTGATGTTTGTGCCTGGATTGTTAGTCCTGAGCATTCTTCGTGAATCAACGAAATATTGATTCATGTTCCTTGTTTGTTCTTGTTTGTGCTGCATCACTTTCCATCACACACATGCAAACGTGTGCATGAGTGAGTTGAGTGCATAGACAGGCACATAAAAAGATTAAATGCTACAATGGAGTACATATTACCCAAGTGGGCCCTCTACATTTTTTCATAATATTGAAATATGGTAATAGTACAAGCAAAAAATATTATCCTTCAAAGTCTAAAGCCTCCGTTTGATAATTTATAAATCTTTATAAAGAGGAATAGTAAAAAGAATAACAGTGGATTCCACAAAATATGTAGATAAAAAATGAGTAATATAGTTATGTATTATTGATTTGACTGAGTTCATAAATCATTTGTAAATTCACAGCAAAATGGAGACGTAAAATGCAACCAGCACGCTAATGATATCAGCTCAACAACACAAATGAAATGAAGACTTAAAAATGAAGAATGGGAGAGTCTGGTCCACAATTCTTATTATTTCTTATTCAAGTAAACTCGGTGGGATTTTATACCCCTATTACAAGCCATATATAAACCTTATTAAACAGAACTATATATGGAAGGTAACAAATGAACACGCTTGCAGTGGTCACTTCAGTGCACATTCGCGTCCATCGCTTTCTGCACTTTCATCTCACTCCGCACATTCTGTACTCTTTGCACTTCCATCACTTTCTGCATTTTCTTCTATATATGGGAATTTGATTTGCAGCATCTCCCCGTCAGTACCCCATGCATCAAGCTATTTGGCAACCCGAAAAAATTAGATTCAACAAAACGTAGATTTTACATTTTTGGTCAAGCAAACTCTTGACTGAAAAATAATGGAATACTGATAATAAATACATACCACAGCGCCAATGCAAATCAGAAATTTCATATGAAGCGGCGCTTTGGTCTATCCAAGATCCTTCAGTTTTCGAAACTCTTAAAATGACCTCGGAATGCTGAAGTTCAGCAACATAAGTTGTCAACAGGTATCCTCCTTCAAGGTATTCATATCCAGCACCATCATCTTCATAGAGAAAACCTTCAGCTTTGCCTGTTATTCATCAAAGAGAAACAATTCAGAAATACACGAATTTCTAGTCAATTCATTAGTAAAACAGAAGTATTATTTGTTTGCAACCTTCAGCAGAAGTAATGATACGTGTCAGCAAATATATAAAACAGAAAAATTACCATGTTCATCCAAAGCCACCAGCAGAGTTATATCATCTGTACCTTAGCTTCAGTAACATGTTGATGAGGAGGATCCAAAGGAATGATGGATCCTCCTATGGTCAATCCTTGTACAACCAGAAATAGGAAAAAGTTAGGCACAAATTATTGATCAACACAGAGTTTAATTGGAATGATGTGTGATTTTTGTTAATGTTGGGAAGATATAAGAAATATAGCACGCTATAACAATTGTTGTAAGGTTCGTAGAGTATACAGAAAAACTGTTATGACTTGCATGATTTCTATAAATATCCTAGAGTTTTAATGATGCTTTCATGTTCGATCTTTCATAAAGATACAGGAAAGTCAAATGGGATGATATATTTAATTCTATTCAAGAGAGATTATTAAATGAATTAGGAATATCCATAAACAAGAATAGATAAATAAATATTGCACGGCAATGAATTGTATTAAAATGGATTAATAAGAAAAATCCAAAGTCTTATTGCGCATTTAATCAAGTTTACAAAAACCTACTTAATTACTCACTAGTAAAGTAGATTATTAGTTATGAAAATTCTTCATTCTAACTTGACTATTCGATTAAAATAACCATTAATTGAAATTGGATTAAGTACATAATTTTCATGGATGACACTTATCATTATATTACTTGTTTACGATACCTTGCACTTGCGAGATTTTGTTGACCAAAAAGAAAATCTAAAATAAAATAAAAAGTCATAGAATAGGATATTTTGAAGTACCGGATGAGAATCTTCAAGATCAAAACTCAATCATATTCTTTGAGGCAACTTGTGCAGCAGTTGACATGACTCCTGATCATCTTTATGCTGTGAAACTGAATTCAATACACAACAAAACTTACAAGAATAATATTTCCTGTTATAACACCTATAGATAAAATGAAAAATAATAAGCACGAAAATATGAGGGAAAATAGAACTAGAAATGTCATTATATCATCGGAGGACAAGATAAGTACCAGAGTCACTTTTTATATTCTTCTTCCATTAAATTAAAACTTTAATAAAAACAGATATTTTACGATTATAGATTCAAAACGTGCTTATGTACATAAATTCATTCTCACACGTGCATACACACGAGTATTAGCATATGCTTTCAAGTGTCTCATGAGGGTTGTCATTCGCAGATCCTATTGTTGTGGACATGCTTCAAAGTCCCTACTTGGGAGAATGAGGCTTGAAAAATTGAGGTCCACCAAAAACACAAGCAACAAATCATACATACTGCGCCCATCAGGGATCTCCTACAATTGCCCTCAGGTGATCTGCTCTAATAATTTGGTACTTTTATCCTTAATAGCACAAGTATTCCTTAATGACCAATAGCACACAAGTACTGCGGGGAAAGTCGAAATGAATCAGTAAATTCCGCCAAAGTTCTAAATTATTTCGCCCCAAATTCTTTTTTGATAAAAATAAGTATTCTACTAGGTTTTGATAAAAGTTGATGAAATATGTGATTGAAAAGGAAATAAAAGTTGTGAGTCCCATGAAATATATGGTTAAAATTGAGTTTGACTAAAAATGATTTTTAGAAAATGGAGGCCAAACATGAGCTTCGTCTTCTAATTACTACTGATGTTAATTTGTTATTTCATGTCCCTTAACTATGCAAATAAAGATATGATATAACTATTTGAGGTGCATTTCTTAATCACTTTGTCCATTTCCAAGCTTCTTAAGGCAATATTCTATTATATATCTCAATTAGCTCTCACCAATCAGTGTAAATGTGAAGATCCATTTGATAGAAGATTAACACTATGTGGGCTAAAAACAGGAATTCCAGGAAAAAAGATTTAGTAATGTGTTGTCAGAGGTAAATGAACCCAAGGTATAACTAACGTTGATATTAAGAGTCCGGAACAGTGATACGTCGAAAAAACAAAAGAATTTGGTTTCCTTTATGGTTTTCAAAGATATATTTGGCAATATCTTGCACTTACCAGATTAAGAACCATAGAGATACTCATATGAAGGTGCTCCGAAGTAGAGATATTATCTCTTGTCCATGTAGCAGCATACCTTTGGCTACCCACAAACCCAGATTGAGTACGAGCAAATGGATGTTTTTTATCTTTAGCTAGTTTCAAGCATTCATATGTTGATCTTGCCATCAGCATACCATAAACTTGAAATAAGCAACTGAAATCAGTGAATGGCAATTCATATATTATACACGATGTGAAAGAAAATCACTAATTAGTAGATTGTTTTTCTATGATAGTAATCAGAATTCTAGTTATTTGAATAATGTATCTATGAATGAAGATCTCCACTACAATTGTTACTGATGAACATCAAAGTTTGATTTGTTAGGTTTGTGACCCAAATTAGGGTGGATTTTTTTTTTTAAATATAAATTGTTTCCTTATTTTCTTGTGTGAAAAATTGTTTTCTTATATTTTACGTGATTTTTATGAAAATATATTATTTCCTTATTCCACATTATTTCCACATTTATGCTATGTCATGTACCTATAAATAGTGGTTTCCTCTTTTAGTTTTGTTTAAGCTAGAATTTCTGAGTTCTTGTATTTCTCTTCATATTATCGATTAATAAAACGTCGTGCTTTTGCGATTAACTCTCTTTGTTAATTTCTTCACCTTTAAATCGTGTTTCTCATTGTGATTTTCATTACTTCGTATCGTGTCGTTAATCTCATTCACCACAACCCTTCTGGGTCCAACAGGTGGTATTAGAGCTTTGTTCTTCTTTTGAGGATTGGTTGAGGTTATTTTAGAGATGACTACCATGAAATATGACATTCAGCTGCTGGATCGCAATGCATGATTTTCTTTGATGAGGACCACTCTGGCACAGTTGGGTTTGGACGATGCGCTGCTGCGTTTTGAGAAGATGCTAGCTAATTAAATAATAGAGGAGAAACAACGGAGGGATCGAAAGGCTTTGTCGTTGATTCATCTTCATCTATCCAACAATATTCTATAGGATGTCTTGAAAGAGAAAACAGTAGCTGCTTTGTGGTTGAAACTGGAACAGTTATGTATGATCAAGAGTCTTATCAGTAAACTGGCTCAAAAGCAAAAACAGTATTCCCATATTGACGTGTTCAAGAAAATTGTTGTAGATTTGGAAATGTTGGAGGTTAAGTATGATGAAGAGGTTCTTGCCTTGATCTTATTATGTTGCTTGCCTAGTTCTTATGCATCATTTTGGGACACCATTTTGTATAGTTAGGATACTTTGATTATAGACGACGTCTATGATGCTTTGCATTCAAAGGAGAAGTTGAAGCTACATCGAGAGATGAGAAAGCTCTTGTATCTCATGGTGGTCGATGTAGGGGCAGATTGAAGTATAACAACAATTTGTTTTGATTCTATAACAAAAGGGGCATATTTGGAAGGATTGTGATAATTGTAGGCTAAAGGTGATTTAGCTGCAAATCATGGAGCGCAACTTTTTACTTCAAACAAAACAAATATAATTGAGGATTTTTTAGACGGCAGAGATGTGATGTTGACCATGGTATCTGACGTAAAATCTAAGCCTAACGAGGAGTGGATTCTCGATTTGGTATGTTCTCATCATAAGTTTTCCAATGGAAATCTCTTTCAGACATATGAGGTTGTTCAACAAGGTAAAGTTGTAATGGAAAACAACTAGTCTTATTGTATTATTGGGATCGGTCGAGTCAAATTAAGGCTGTGGGATGGGACAGTCAGGACAATTGATCAAGTTTGAAATGTTCTAGGCCTGAAAAGAAATCTCATCTCCCTCAGTACCTTGGATGCAAAGGGGTATAAATTTTCTGGTGAAGAGTCTTGAAGGTCCGAAAGGATGTTTGGGTTGTACTTGAGGGATGGAGAAGTTCTCAATTGTACATTTTGTAGGGGAGCGCAAAACCAGTTAAGAGACATTTGGACAAATTTAGTATCGAGGTGGATATACAATTTGGTACAGTACCTCTTATGGCGAGTTCTGAGTTGGTTAAGAACACGCTTTGGGAGAGCGTTGGTGAGTCCGCTTTGCCACCAATTTCAGCGATTACATTGTGTTCATTTGCTAGGGTTGGACTCATGGAGCGTAGGTACCAAGGTGTCAATAATGTTCGGGATGTTTTTGGGGACGTTGAAGGTGACAGTTCTAGCAAGGGGTCTTTTAATCTAATATGTGATATGGTTTTTACAACAAGGTATGTTTCGACCCAGTTTGGTCAACAATAATTCCGTGGTAAAATTTTGGGAACCCAAGATTTGGGTTCAGGTATCGCTTGTGGACGTTTTGAGGAGGACGATGTTTTGGTTTAGAGAGTTTTGGTTACTGTATTGATGAGATTGGCTATTTCGATGTAGACAGATTCTAAATCTTAGAGTTTCGTTTATTGCATTGTAATTTGAGTCAAGGCGGAGATTGTTGAGTTTGTGACCCAAATTAGAGTGGATTTTTTTTTTGAAAATAAATTGTTTCCTTATTTTCATGTGGAAAAAATTGTTTCCTTATATTTTATGTGATTTTTATGGAAACATTATTTCCTTATTCCACATTATTTCCTTATTCCACATTATTTCCATCTTTATGCTACGATATGTACCTATAAATAATGGTCTCCTCTTTCAATTTTGTTTAAGCAAGAATCGCTAAATTTTTGTATTTCTCTCCATATTATCAATTAATAAAATATCGTGCTTCTGCGATTAACTCTCTTTGTTAATTTCTTTAACTTTAAATCTTGCTTCTCATTGCGATCTTTATTACTTCATATCGAGTTGTTAATCTCATTCACTACAATATTTATGGGTCCAACATGATTTTGGAAAAACACCATCATTATGGAAATGTACACGCGGTAGAAAAATTAAGCCATAAACCGTCCTTTTAGGATCTCATAAACTATAAATCTTCCCCCATGAAGTGAAGGCACAGAAAGAGAAGGATTCGAACCCTCGGTAAACAAAATCATACATAGCAGTTCCAATGCTACTCCTTGAACCACTCAGGTGATATTCACAGGGCCAAGAGCGAGAAAATAGAATTTCTTTCTTCATCTTTGCAACAACAAAAAAAAGGAGGCTTGTGATTTATAAATTGCTTGGTACAAAATAAGAAACGATCTCTCCAATGCATAAATGACACTAAGCATATCAATTTCATGAGTAAAGTTGAAGTGCTTATAGAAGATTTCAGGGCCAAGTAGTACGTTGTGATAATGTGAATGGTTCTGTTTGCCTCCATGTTGTGGATCTCCCCTATGAATTTTGCTCTCAAGCATTGTCTTCATTTCAGTCTGAAACAAAATAAGTTACACAAAACCAGGAAAGAAATGCACTTCCAATAAAGTTTGAACCTTACCTTCATAACCGCCGGTTCATTCATATCATTCCATGAACCATCCACGCCATTAATAACAAAGTCCTTGACAAGACTAGCCCACCATGAGCGCTTCTGATTTTGTGAAGTCAGGAAATACACATGGCCTAGGCCACACCTCCCCTAAAGATAGAAGTAAATAAAACTAATATTAACTACTGACCAAAAAGAAGTAAAAGTTCAAAGAAACAAAAAATTGACCATGGCCATGAGTTCATGCTTTTTTAAGTTTTCTTTTTTCCTTCCATTTTTTTTTTTTTTTTGGTTTTTTCATTTCTTTTCAGTGTTTTACAAGAACGTGAAAAGGGATGGAGGTATTATAAGTACCAACAAATGGCCTCTGACACGCAATTTGAACCCAGATATCTTTTTCAGAACCATTGTCATAGACGAAATAGCCATCTTCATTTTTGATCCCTGGGTCAAGCATCTAGTTTGCTTTGAAACCAATTTGATGAAGATAATCTACAAGAGACTTTGGATCTGGGAGCCAGTCCTAAGATATATAGAAACAACAAACATATGTTTTATAATTCATGTCTGGAACAAACAAACTTTTGATTATTTTGTATACTTCATCTCTGGAACCAACCAACGTTTAAGTAGATGGAACATGCCTCGTCAAATGTGAAACATCGAAAACCATTCATGTAATCTATGTCCATCCATATGGCATCACAAGGTTTCTTTCTTTTTTTTTTTTTTTTGGGAAATGTCCCAGCAATCTGTATTGTGCAAGTGAAAAATATCAACTTTAAATGGTAAACATGCTTGAAGAAACCAGCTTGCCATTTAACCCCGGTAGTAACAATATAAGTTTCACATAACAAATTCCAAGTGTACATATGTGGTGTTATATAATACATAAAATTCATAGCTTATAAAAAGGACCACAAGTTTAAAAGTAAGACAACTAACATATTCGAACACGCAAAGAAAAACAAAATGATGGAGAAAAATGTAGAAGATGAATGCGCAAATAAGAAATCTAAACACTATAAATGGCCAACCTCATGAACTCGTGCATGAGAAGAATAGCTGCAACGAGATTGTTGATAGCCTAGTGACCATTTGGGTGGCATAAAAACAATACCTGGTAGAAAATTTCCTCAATCTAATAAAAGCAGCAGGGAAATTATGTAGACCAAGCAAGCCAATAACAGCATGTGACAAAAGAGAAAGTCGATTGTGGATTACGTGTTGACACATTAGAATTTTCATATAATTCAAATTCTACGAAAATATAGCATTGTTATATATTTTTACCTACAACTCAACTTGTGGGTAGTTGGAAGGGAAAGAGTACAAGAAGAATAAAGCACTAGAAAAAGCACAGTCTTGGTTTAAAATTATGTAATAACACATGAAAGTTGGATCATTTGTGAATATTTAGAACAACAGAAAATTAAAAGTGTGATGGTCTGTAATTACCCATAGCACGGGAGAAAGACATTAGAACATTTGCTGGTTAAAAATATGGACCAAATGTGATCAAAGGATATGACGATGGAGATATGATATTTATATTTGATGCCTTCCTCAAGTCAATCTGCACAAGCAACAGCTTGAATTTTAAAAAGCTATTTTGTCTTACAATTGATCTCACAAAATGACCAAGAAATCACAAGTACCTTTCATCTTTTCATAGTATCTGCCATAACCCCTAATGATTTTCCATTGGAGAGAACCGCTAGAACCCAAGGATGGGATTGATACAAGGAAGTTGTCTCCACACCATAGCCATACAGTCAGTATTCCAAGTAAAAATCCGTTTATAGTAAAAATAGAAAGTACTTCAAGAACGGTTTAAGCTATAACTAGTGACGAAAAACTTGGATCAAATAGCTTACTCTCTTCCCAATACGCTCCAGCCCCCACTTACATCTCCGGTTTCGTAAAAGGAGGTACCAGCTGGCAACACAAACACAGAGAAGTTCAACTAGTATATTAAGATATCAATTGAAATTGGATAACATTTCAACAATATCCAAGTATGTATAATGCTGAAAGTGTGATGATAAATAACATAATTACCTCAATATTGACTCTCTGTTCTACCGTAACACGTTGAAATGTCAGAATGTAGGTTGGATCATGAAATTTGGTAATAGGCGTCTCCCTGTCTTTTGGATTTGGAAAGAAAAGGCTCGGTAATGCATTATTTCTATCATGCACAGAACAATCAAAACAAAAAACTCCTTCATGAAGACAGTAAAGTATATTCCAATCTTTCACCCAATAATTACTTAAGTTCTTATGTTGTCAAATTTTAAATACGTGGAAGCGTACGAATATGTTGGAATATAGATCTTGTATTGAGAAAGACAAATCTAATCTATATTAATTATTACTCTAAACTTGTTGACAAAAGTCGAGTTCTTCTTGAAATAATTAAAATAAAAGATGATAAGTAAATGAAATTAACTAAATTAAATAGAACAATGATTCAAGTGATAAAAATTACCAGGGTTTGAGAATCCACCACAATCTAAATATACAATGGGCTAATTATCGACTAGTTCCAATTCAAACAACAATTGAAAATCAATCAAACGTCGACCCATACATTAGCAATTACTTCCGAGTTAAATAAACCTAATGTAGCTCCCAATTTGCGTCGTCAATCAATTTTCTAAACTTTCTTCATATCAAAGGAAAACAAAAAAAAAATTAAAAGGAAAGTAATTAACATTCTGTTGGGAAAACACCTCTCAATGAATGCCCAAAGATCAAACTAAGTTGGCAAAGTGAAAATTTCCAAAACACTTCAAGAACAAGAAAATGAGGAAGAAATGATTTCCAATAGAATATATGAAATTCAATGTGTTTGGATTACTTGAACAAGCCTCCAGTTAATCCCCAAGAAAGAAAATACCTTTGAATTTATACCCAAGATGAACACCTTCAACTTGTAAAATTCTCACCAAAGTTTTTCTCTCTAATTTTTATTTCTAGGTCTTGTGTTGTGTGTATTGTAATGAAAGAGGGAAAAAAATGCATATATATATACATGTGGGGGCGCCTAGGCGCCAATATTCTGCTTTGGTTCTGCATTCGGGGCGCCTAGGCGCCTGGACATGGCGCCTAGGCGCTGCTTGCCCTTCTCTTCCCTTTCTTCTCTACTTGCTTCCCTCCTTCTCACAATTCTCCACCTCGTACATCATTTGATAGACCTCAAATTTTGGACGAACACAAGAAGAAGAAACAAGCACCAACTCGGCTGCATCATTCAAACCATGATTGCCTACGTACCCATAACTCGGGATCAAGCCTCCGTAGTTCACCTCCACCTTCATATACTCTCCACCTCATTCCAACCTCGCCCCGAAGAGCCATGCCCTCTCGGGCATATCAACACGGACTAATATGAAGCAAGTCCAAGCAATGTTGAAACTTGCTACCCGTCACCACTTTGGTTAACATGTCAGCTGGGTTTTCATTTGTGTGTACCTTCGAGAGTGAAATATCACCTTCCTCTATAACATCACGCACAAAATGATACCTGACGTCAATATGCTTGGTTCGAGCATGATGAACCTGATTCTTAGCCAAGTGAATCGCACTCTGGCTATCACACCACAAATCCACACAATCCTGCTCAATCCCCAAATCATCTAGAAGACCCCATA